CCCAGCCGGTGCAACGAGCGGGGCGAGCTTCTTCAAAAGCCCTTTGTAAAAAAAAAAAAACCGTGGTTTGTTGGCGCGGTGAATGGGGCCAAAGGCCGGAGCAAGAGGGCTAGACGATCCATCCCGTGCGCCTGATAAATGTGTGCTGTGGGTTCTTCCTCTTTTCGTGGGCTTAAAAAAAAAACTTCCACGTCGTAAATAAAATGGGGAGAATGTTCCGGCCCAAAATAAAAAAAAACGCCCTTGATCCATTATGTTGTACAAAATCCGAGAACGCCTTTGCCACGTGTTTTCTTTTCAACATCAGAGAAAAAAAGACCCCACTATCAGAAGGACCCTCCTTTGCCTGTACGCAAGCTTGCCTCAAGAAAACCTCCACTTTTGTGGTGATCTTTTTCATGATAAAGATATGGGAAATAAATTCATGGGTTCTTTTTCCCGAAAGGACGGCGTAAGGCAAGACCATCCTTTTTGAAAGTTTCCAGAAAAAAAAAAAACGACGACCAGTTCGTGCCGAAAATGACCCTAAACCATGCTTTCAGCATTCTGAGAGTTAATGCGGCTATCCCCGAGGGGGCCGAAATAGCGCCGCCAGAAATTGCGACAGTACCCCTCGTGGTAATCATGATTTGGCTCACAAACGCCCAGACCAAGACGCGCGGTCTCCTTCTGTGTTGAATTCAAACAGCCAAGGCAGACGTAATACACGGCCATGGGGGCAACAATGCAACCTGAAAGGAGCGCAGCTGCAACACATATAATGGCTGCTGCAACCGACCAGTGGGCTTCTCCCCCATTCGCACTGTAATCCATTTTGACAAGCGCCAAAACAGAGCGAATACCAACATAGAATACGAGAACACTTGTAAATATAAAAAACCCTGCAAAAAAACGAAATGTTCTCTTCGCTACACAACTCCCCAAGACACCACAATGATGATCAAACTCTTCAACACAATAGTCGCAAAAACGACAATGTGTGCTTCTTGGTGGGCGTACGATGTGGCATGTAGGGCAGACTTTGCACAGCACCTCTTTGCCATTCACAATGACAATCTGTGGCTGTCGCTCTGGATCCGGTGGCAGTGGCAGCAAGATGCCAGGGTCAACCAATACGGAAAATGCCAAACTGACAAGGGCGAAGAAAGAAAACACTGACACTATCACGTAGCTGTAAACTTCTCCACGTGGCACGACACTGATCAAAAATATGAGGACCACAACCATTAGAATGCACAGAACACAGAGGGAGTTCGCAGCATCACGGGAAGCAACACAACACCCAAGTAAATGTGAGTGCCCTAGCACCCGTTTCCGGCCAACGGGCCAACGATATTGATGCGCTTGTTGGTGCGCGTCAAACGACCTATAGGGTTCTGGCTTTGGAGCCAGCTCCATGCTGCCCTCATGCGGGTAATGCTCCCGCTGAGAATGCGCTGTGTCTATCGTTTTTAGGTCACCACTCATTTCCATTAGCCAACACCAAAACACGATACTCCAAACTACCACGCTTCGCCCACCCCCTCGCCCTATCTATCTATCTATCCACCTACCTCCTTTATTGACATGCACACGTCGAATTAGGTAACGAGAGGAGAATGTGGTTCGAACACACGGTGCAATAAGAAAAAGGGATAGATGGGCACAGCACAGAATCCACTGTTAAACAAGCTCAACGCACTGCCTCGTCGGTGAGGCGGTTAAAAAAAAACATTGTAATGAATTGCATCCTTCTCTCTCTCTCTCTCTTTTACACACCCTCACAATTACCTTTTGCCAGGTGTCATCTCGACTTCTTCACCTTTCGTTCCGCTTCCAACTCCTCCTCTAGCGTATCCACGTCAAAGCCAAGCCCGCGCATCTCCTCAAGATACCGCTGCGTTGGATCATCATCAAGCGCCTGAGCGCGCTGTAGCTCTTCTTGCAAGTTACGCCGTCGACGCATTGCATACCCAAAGGCGGCCAAACCAGTACCGCACACCAAAAAGGCACGCAACCCACGCCACGATATTCGCCGCAGAATTTGTGTATTCTCTTCAAAACTCTCCGTCCCAATCTTCTCCGCAATTCGCATATTCTGCAACGTGCGCTCATCTAATGTGGTCGGCGGCTCTTTGCCATTTCCGGCAGCCATTGCACTCCTTTTATTTCTCCTCAGTCTCCACAGACACACTCGCTCTTTCTCTCTCGCCCCCCCCCCAGACGCACTCACCCCCTATGTGTCTTATATCCACATAGAAAGAAGAAAGAAGACAAACTAATACTGCATAAGAATATACGGTACGTCTGCCTGCGCAGAGACGTGTGTGTATATGAACAAAAATATACACAGCAAACACACGTACACGTTTGGAGATGAGAATGTGTGGGTGCAACCTGAACCCAACGAGGGCATTCAATTGTGTATGCATGTGGGGAAGATACCACCACATCAAGGAAATGCAGTTTACATCTCTGCCACCCGCTTTCCCGTACAAGGTAACCAAAAATCCCTCTGTGTGGTTTGAGTAAAAAGAACAGGAATGCTGCCCCCCCCCCTTCTCCAACCGCCCTTTTTCTTTTCTTGTATGCCATGGTTTCCCATCTTCAACAACCAACAAGCGGCCAGAGTCCTCACAGGCAGGATAAGCTACTAACAGTCTACATTTCGCGTGGAAGAAGCGTTTTGGCGTGACGAAATCCTTCTTTCATTTTCATTCCCGTTCTATCCTTCTTTATATCTCACCCACGCACAAATACACATCTCCTCCCCCTCCCCCCCTCTCTCTCTCTCTCTCTCTATAGGTATGCATCAAATCGAGCATCCAATAATTCCTGCGTATGCATTGGAAACGTACCACTGTGAGAAATCCAAGGAAAGCAATAAAAACACACACAACAGGGTGTATATGCACCAATTTCCATCACTGTTCCTCACCAATCATCCGTTACCTTCAACTTCTGCACACGAGTGGCGCTTGATCTACGAGCAAGGTGACGGTCCATGGTGCTTTCAGTCCCGAGCCTCGGTCGCTGGCCATTAAGGCCGTTCGCAGTACGTGCAGGGCTGTTCTGGCAGCTGCCCATGTTGCTAAGGCTTGGCGCGTGGAGGGTCGAGGTCGTCGTCCCCGGCAAGTTGGAGGAGGAATTCGTGTTGCGTCGAAACGGAGAGGACCGGCGAGCAGTCGGGCTAGGCACCCGCACCGGCGGTGCGTGACGCTTCAGTGCCGATTCGCGACCGGCATCGTCGCCCGCTGCGCAGGACGCTGGCCGCGCCGGGGACGACCGGCGCTGTGGCGTTGCTGCGCGTTTATCGAGCAGTGAGTCTACCTTCTTCCCCAAAATCGTAACAACAGCCTGTAGGTTGCGGCAGTCCGCCTCCCTGTCGGCTAGCTCCTGCGCCATCCTTGCCAGCTGCTCCTCGAAGGTTTCCCTTTGACGGCGAAGTTCGGCCTCAAAAATAATTTTTTGTCGAAGGAGCTCCGCACGAAAGGCATCCATGTCGTCGGAACCCATGGCTGCAGCAAATCTTCCCCCACAAGAAATGTCTATTCTTCCTCACCCCCCACTCTTCTTTGTGTATCTAACAATGATGGGTAACTTGTACAAAGGTGTAAAACCCCCTCCCAAAACTAAAAGAAATGGAAAGAAACAATAATCAGACACACCAATAAAACACACCACTTCCAACGATCTGAAGTGACGCTGGGGATCTGAAAAACATCTTCTACGAAATGGGAACACCAATGAAGAAAAATACAGAAACTATCAACAAACAACACCAGCGACAAAAAACAACAACCCATGATCAGTAAATGTCTTTCAAGTATCGGTGTTCCATCTCCATTTTCCGTAAAAAGGCAGACGCCGCAGAGCGCGTCATGCCACCGTAGACCAGTACATTCAATAATGCCTTGTCCACGCTCTTTGCCATATGTGACGCATTCCCTGACAGATAAAGGATACAGCCACCCTTCGTCGTGTTAGTAAGGAGTTGTAGGAGGTAATCCTTGTGTTTCTCGATAAGATCTGTCACATAGTACTTTTCTGCCTGATCACGACTGAAAGCAACATCAAGGAGCGTTAGTACAGAAGGCGGTAACACATCTGGACTCGGTAGCTTCCCTTCCCCATGAGGGCACCACATCTCCAGCTCTTGACGCACAAAATACTCTGTTGCACGTTTCTGAGCACCAAAAAAAAGGACCATAGATCCATGTGTGATGCTGGGCTGCTGCTTCATTAGTGCGGCCCGCCGGTGACAGAACCCCAGCATCGACGCAACGCCTGTACCAGGGCCAATCATTATGACCGGACGTCCACCGCATTTCTTTGGGAGGTGAAATGATGTTTTGTGTATGAAAGCCGTGATCTTTTCCCCCACATCTATCTTCTGCAGATACTGCGAGTTCATTCCATTGGGAATGATACGGATGAACACTTCCACTGTCGTGGGATGCGTCAACATATCGGAGGCGATCGAATAAAACCTCGGTTGTACACGTGGCATCATCTCCAAGAAATGCCCAATAGGAACACAGCAACAGCTCGGAAACTTGTTTAAATAATCCAGCGGAATTCGGAAGATCGATAATGAATTTGGCGATGATCCGTTCATCTCTGTTTTATTTTCACCATTACCCTTCATACCTCGGCAGAGTAGTTCCAAGAATGATGCTTTCTCTGTTGGATCAGTACAGTACTTCGCCAAGAAGCGCAGCATCGACTTGCGAGGCCTCCCGCAAAGGTCCAAATACCGCTCAAACACCGTGCGCAAGGCAACGCAGGCGGGAAAAGTGTTTCTAAAAGAGGCACGAGCGCGTGAGTTGGCGACTGTGCCAAGCAACACAGGCGTCACCCAGTCCTTTTCGGAGATGTTCAGCGCTTTTCGGTACGCTTCGACCACATCCGGGGGGTTGGCAGGGTACATGCCGAGGTGATCCCCCGCCTGGTAACTCACCGTGTTCCCTTCAATATCCAGAATGAGATGGAGCACGAAGCTGCCGTCCCTACGTTTCTCGGTGCACGGTGTCTTGGCTTGGACCAGGAACTGCGCAGGAAATTGCATCGATGGCTCCAGCAGCGAAGATGGCGGTGTATAGGGCAGTTCGCTAATAGGCCTCTCCGGTGCAAACTGGAACACCAGCTGTGGCCGTGGGGGAACATCAGACTCGGCACCCAACACCACACCGCACCTCTGCTCGAGCACATCCATGAGTTTTTCTTCCCATTCTTCAAATACATCATCCCGAAATGGGTTGCGCGCATCCCCCAGAACAATAGGAAGGAGCTCCACCCCACCTCCCTTTTTAAAAATCATATTCACATTTAATCCTGCCCGGCAGTAGTATTTGTAAGAACTGTCACCGAGGGCAAAGACGGCGTACGACACGTTAGCAAACGGCTTCTTCTCCCCCTCATCCACATCCTCCAGAGCCTCCTGCATCTCTGCAAAGAAACTGAAAAAATTAGCTGGTACTTCCCCTTCTCCCGTCGTAGAGACAATACACACCACAATAGGCAACTCGCCCTTGGTACTTGGCGGGAAGAGCGGCTGCTGTGAGCTGCGCTGATTAAGGTGGGCCCATGCAGAGGGGTCAATGAGTACCGTGTCGACACCGCGCTCCGTTAGGTTGGTTACGAGCCCCGTGGCATAAGTTTCGGCGTTACCAGAGGTGCTGCCGTAAATGATCATCACTCTAGCGGCACCCTCAGTGAATTTGCTAGTACGCTCCTTCTGCTGCTGTAGCATCGCGGCGTACTTAGAAGCGAAGGTGGTGGAAGCTGCCGAGGGGGCCCGACACCTCCTCCACAGACGCATCACAAACACCACAACAAGTGCACCAACAGTAACGCTAGCCGCGACGGGTAAGCCGCGCGGCATCTTCCTCTTTCTCCCCTTCCTTTTTTTGCTTGCTCGCTGTCTATTTCTTGCTTATTATCACTCTTGTTGTTGTTATTACTCTGATTGGCTAACAACACGAAATATACGCATCGTAAAAGAACAAGGGCAACAACAAAGACAAGATTAACCTCCAAGGGACTCCTGACACACGAATTCCCAACCTCTTTTTAATCGTTTATCACAGACACACGACTTGATTGTTTAACGTTTTACTCGATTGGTTGCCCCATTCAGTTCGCCACTTTAACTCCCGTTGGTTTGTTTTCTCTTTACCTCCCCCCTCTTTCTCTCTCTCTCTCTCTCTGACACACGCACACACACACAATTAAAGGGGACGCTACTTCTCTGGGTTGCGCAACTTCCGCTTTACTGGGGCACGTGGGCCTGACNCACACACACACAATTAAAGGGGACGCTACTTCTCTGGGTTGCGCAACTTCCGCTTTACTGGGGCACGTGGGCCTGACGGCGGGCGGTTCTTCTTGCCCTCCACTATTGGCCGCAGGTCCTTTGGTATCTTCTTGCGTGGGTTCGTCGTGACACCCATCCACGAGGGCTGTCCATCGGTGTTGTTGCGTCGGTCGGAGGTTCTCTCCTCCCTGCGCGCCTTCTTGTTCATTCTCTTGTCATTCTTGCCACCACCATTGGGTCCCCCCTGTTCCTCGCGTTTTCGCTTCTCCCGCCGACTGGCGGTAGCCGCCTTCACCGCCTTTGATTTCTGCACGTGAACGATGCGCACCTCGCGGCCGTTAAGAAGACTGCCACGCACGGCGATTGCCTTCGGCACAGACGAGGAGGCGTAGAACTCCACGTAGCCGAACCCTTTACAGCTCCCTGTCTCGCGGTCCCGCACCAACCGGACACGCTTCACATCTGCGACGCCCTTCTCCACGAAGAAGTTCCACACCGCCTCTTCATTCGTGTCGTAGGCAATGTTGCCAATGAATACCGACGTCTCCGGTGCGTACGCCCGGCTCTCGGCGTCCATTCCAGTCACAACAATGTGGTGACCGTCCGCAACGACACCATTCAGTTTCAGCGCGTTCGCAACGGAGGCTTTGTCCTTGAACAAGACATACGCCACTGCACTGTACTGGTCGCCCTTCTTGATCTCACCACGGAGCACGCGGATCGCACGACCAACACTCGCCCTACTCTTTTGGTTTTCTTCTCCCTCATTCTTTTTCCTTCCTTCTTCTTCTAGTGCCTGTGCGCGGATACGGACGCATTCAATGGCGCCACAGCTTTTAAAGATCCTCTCCACTGCCCGCCTCTTCACATCGTTCACAAGGTTCCCAACAAACACCGTGCGGTTCTCCTCCTCTTCATTGTTTTGGAGGGCATGTCGAAGGTGCTTCTTCCGCTTTGCTGTCTTCTTGTCCGCGCCGTCACCCGCTTTGTCATTGTCGTCGAGAAACACAGTTGCGAAAATGTCGTCCTGGACGCCGTCACTAACCACCCCTTTTCCTCCCTGTGTGCCCTTCTTCGCCGCGGCATCACCCAGCAGACGCAGGCGCTGTTTTTCTTTGCGTGTGGCCTTCTTCACCTGCGGTGCCACCGCGAATAGGTCGAATGCGGCCTTTTTCGTCGGCTCGAAGGAAATGGACGGCTTTTCGGCTGTGCTTTTTTTCTCCTCTGAAGCTCCTGCCGCCCCCGCCACCCCTGCAGTCGCCAACGCCAACGCCGACGACGACGACGGGGCGGACGACCCAAACAATTCCGCCGTCAGCGACATTGTGTTGAAGAGCTACCTTTACCTTCACTACTAAAATGACGATGATGAAAAGTACACGAGCAGCATTATGAGCATACACCGCAGAATAATATTGCTGGTGCACCGTTCGGAGAGCGGCGCGGTGCAGGAATGCCTGCATTTGTTCCCTGTATATGAGAGAAACGCTAGTCACCACAGGAGATAAATGAACACTCACAGGCACACACACACACACACACACACACAGAGAGAGAGAGAGACTCCAACTCACAAGAAGAAAGAGAAAATTGATTGAGCGAGAGAAATATGTGCCTCATACGCTCTTCTGTGGAACACCCGATGCCGCCTTGTACGATTTGTCTAGGCGCTCACGCAACTTCTGAAGCATCTCACTCGCACTGACGTGATCATGATCCACATTTGATTGCCATTCCTGCTCCATTGAGGGCCCAGCGTCTCCAAAACGCATTGGCCCGTCAAAAGAGGCAACAGACGGCTCTCTTGTCGACGATGCCTCAGTCACCGAAGGCACAGTAGGGATAGATATCATCATCTCTTGTTGCAGAAGGTTCTGAATAGCAGAGCGTGGCTCCTCAGCGATCACCACTGTATCAACAATACGCGCCAGAACACTATTAGTGTGTGCCAACGTATGCAAGCCCATGTCCAGTTGTCGCTGAAGTCCATCCGCCCGCTCACTCAGCAACTTCATCCGCTGCTCCATTGCCTCCTTTGCACGTAATTCACGACATAACAAGCGGAAGGCGAAGAGACGAGAAAAATACCGTCGCGCCAATGCTGCAAGATTTATATGATGGAGGTGTGGAACGAGGGAGCGAACACGACGGCGATTTTTCCGCTGCGCCACAAAAGAAATCCAATTATCAAGTGAGGAACGTGCCAGTTCGCGGCAAATTCTGCTTCGCATGATTTCTAAAGCTCGCAGACGCATGAGTAATAGTCGACGCCATTGATGCGCGTCCATCCATTTCCGTAGGTAACGCTCCGCCAACAGCCTAGCTGTTTCCTGTTCAAGCAGAAGTGCACCTCTCGCGCGGTTCCTGGCGTTCCTGGTGGATTCCACAAACATCACCCAATAGTTGAATGTGCGTAGTGCGAGACTACGAGCAGTAATGTGAACCAGGACCTCGGCAGTGTCATGCGCAGACAGTTGTCGAGACAGTCGAATTCGTTCCCTTGTATCCACAAGTAAACGCCATTTACGCCAGTATGCCAGTGCCACGCGACGCTCCTGGGACACGAGTAATGCCTTGATGTGACGCCGCTGTGCTTGTTGCTTCGAGCGGATAGCAAGATACCCGTTCCACTTATACATGTATCTCTGCCATATACTCTTCCTTGTGTCGTCCTGTATCAGCCGTCTGCTACCTTGCATATTTCGGTACCGCACCCAACGGGTGTAAAACACATTCGCTAGTTTCCTGCCGCTGGACTCTCTTAACCGTGCAGCAGTTTCGCGCTTCTCCCGGTTTTCAGCGCGAGCAAGGCGATACTCTATGTTGGTAACGACATCCGCCATGGTTGACATAGGCGGCTGACCATAGCAACTGATGGGCCGAAGGTCTAGCTTCACGTCCCCAGAGAGGTTCTTTATGGCTTCTTCGTGCTTCTGAAGAGCGTATTCGCAGCGGTACATCTTCTCCTCCGAGTCGCGGCGCAATGCATCCAACTCCTGCTGCTGGCAACGGATGAGTCGCATCATATCAGCAAGGACATCCGCCAGTGGTACCCCGCCAAGCTGCACTCCTAACGAAGGTGCAGTGCCATTCTCGGGAAAGATACCGTCGACACCCATCTGTATCTTTGGCTACTGAAATACGTATCGCACCACCCACGTTTTCTTCGCACTGCGTTTGGAGGCGCACAGAAAGAAAGGCGCACAAATAAGAGGACAAAAAAAAGAGAAGGGAGAAAAATGAAATATATTCACACTTATATATTATACAAAGGCCAAACCCGTATTACTATTCAATCTACACTTACTATTAGTTTCGGCGAGACACTGTCATTTTTTTTCTTTGTTTTGGATTGCCTATTGTACACTCGCTCAGAGGGAAGGACGGTAAGCGAGGGATAAAAAGCCAAAAGGCATACTGGCGACATGCCACTAGCTGTAGTTTGTGTTCCACAAGGCGATGACTGCAACAATGCAAATGATGACGCTAACGAGGGATACGACAAAGCCCGAGTGTAGGTGCAAAGCTGTGGACTGGGCAAAGTTGCAGCCCTCGATATCGGCGTACAGCTCGCCCCGCGCTACCATCACCACGACAAGCACGAACCGCCCCAATACTACTATTGCAAGGCACAGTAGGATAGCCATCCGACGGCTGTGGGCCGGCCTCAATATCGCCGGGTGAACGGTAGCCAAGAAGGCCACCACAATCAACGCAATGGCAAGAATAGCGCAGAAACAAGTGAGGAAAATATTAGCTATAATGCAAGAGCGAAGCGACCCAGGTGGCAAATCTGCCACATAGAGCCGTGTCAACGGCTTCTTCGACCCACGAGCCAGAACGGGAGGCGACATGGTGTCTGAATCATCATCTGCAGAACTGCTGTCCTGACTTGTGGGTGACTTCTCGCACTCTATCAGGAAGCCGAAAACTTTGAGTGACCGGCCATCATGTTCTTTTCTGGCCAGCGGAGAGAGAGAGCCACTCAATAACAGCCCCAGCAGAAGCACCGAAATGCCCATGTAGGATGAGACTGGAAGGGTGTTCTTGTGCATCGACATGGCCACGCTTCCACTGGAACTCTTCCTCCACAGAGCAATGGAGAGAAATGGGCAACAAAGGTTAAGAGTGAACCATAGTTTAACTTTGCTCAGGGAAAATAAATAAACCAGATCAGCAAGTGCAGTGAAGTTATACCGATATATAGATGGACAGTCAGACTGAGATAGATAGAGAGAAACTCACAAAACGAAGTTCAGAAAATAGGCATGTTCACATGTGCATGCATGTGTTCCCAATCTCAATAATGGAGACTGCCACTCTCAGTGCTGCTGCCTCACACGGTAATAAGCAGCGCGAAGTTCGTAGAACTTGGCCGAAGATCTTGACGCCTCCTCATCCAATTGCGGTGGCTGTACCTTGAGCGATGGAGAAAACGGATTGAACGGCTCCCTTGTATTTGCACTGCCAGAGACGTAGGAGGCCCCACGAAATGTTGCCACGCCGTCATTGGCGCACATCTGGTTGGCTTTCTTTGCAAGGTACTGCGATAGATTGCGTACGAGAGAAGGATCCCGAGTAAATGGCGGCCGCTTCTGACACGTCGGCATACAATCGGGTGCGGCGCTCTCTGTGTAACCCTCATTATCCTCGTTGTCAGCGTCATCGTTGCTGCAGCTACTACTACTACTACTACTACTGCTGCTGCTGCTTTGTGTCACTGTTGGATAGCTTGGGGAGCCCTCCACTTCGCCGCTACAGGCTGTCTGCAACATCAGAGGTGAAACGGACTCCGGTGGCATAAAGGCATCAGCCGTATTTTCATTCTCATTCGTTACGACACTACGTTCACGCACCAGCGCCTTAACAGCGCCAACAAGTTCCTCTTGATGTCGCGTAGTTTCGTGCATCGCCTGAAGGAAGTGCTGCTGCTGTTTCTCAATTATGGAGTGACAGTGCCCCAGCTCTCTGCGCATCGCCCCCATGGCAGCGACAGTAGCCACCACGCCCTCGTGCTTGGATTGCTCACCCTCACTGATACTTTCTTCTGACAGATGTCTCTTTTGGGGTGTGTCCACAAACTGATCTGTTTCCCCCACTTTCCGCATGCCCACGGGTGTCTCTTCTTCCATCGCAACTGGTTCTTGCTCCAACTCAGTCAAGACTTGACGATAATCCACGGTACCACTGCTCTCGCCTATTGCCTCACCCGCGGAAGAGTGAGCCAAAGGCGTGTTTCCCCACGCCCTTTTAATCTGCACGTGTGGAAGGGCTGCCGCGCCCACCTCCGTGTGGTGTGCGTCTGACGAATTTAGCTGGTGTGGCGCGGGCAGACCATGCGATGCTTCAGAATTCTCCTCGTCTCCCACAGAGGAACGCACTCCCAGCAGCACGTCCAACTCCTGAGTGTTGTGAAGCAGCGATGGCCGTTTTTGTTCCTGTTGCTCTTCACCAGTTTCTACCGCTCCCTTCACGGGTGATGGGGAGTCCTGCGCCGAGCTTTGCCCCGACGTGGACTGCATCCACCGCACAGCAGAGGCACGCGACCACCGGCGTGGCAAACCCGTCGCGACAGTTTGACACTGCACGCCTGCAGACGACAGCTCAGCCACTTTCCCCTCCCTCATCATATCATTGCCGCCTTGTGGCACGCTACGCAACGAATGCATATCACCCCTCGCCCTACCGCCTGTGATGTGTGTTGTGCACGGTGACGACGTGGGTAGCGCGGGCGGTGCAAAAAGGGAGAGGAGGAGACTATCCCCCTTCGACTCTGCACTGCGGTCACTCAGAGTGCTGTTCTGTGACGCCGTGGCGCCGTCCCCCCAGTGCGGCTGTATCATGTGGATGAGTCTTGGATACGCCTCGTCTTCGTCAAGGATGCTGTCGTTAGTTGTTGTTGTGGTGGTGGTGGGCGTTCCGCGGGGCATGATGGGATGCACCCACGGCGGACGTGGTGCCGATATCCTAGTGCGTTTGCCAACGACCTCCCCGGGCTCTGTTGACGCCGTCGAGGCCTCCTTCATTATCATTGCCGGATGGATGCACTCGTCCTTGGCGTCGCCATCCCTCTCAACAGACACAACGTTGCCGTACTTGTCACGGGCAATGCGCAGAGAGACGAACTTCGGTGCGGAATCCCACATATGGCTTCCCCAGCCCTACTCCTACCACAACCAGCAGACCTTCTTGCTTGAGCAAAGAGCAGATAATATGGAAGGAGGAAGAAGGGCCCAGCACCACATGAGCAGAGCAACCGGTGGACGAAAAACAAACAAACAATTCCTCTTCTTATCACTTCCAGGATGCACACACACACACACACACACTCTTAGTCAGAATGCGGCAATCCAACCTCTTACTCGTTGTCGTCACCACCCTCGCAATTATCAGCGCCTTCAATGATGATCTGCCTGCCCTGGCGCTCGCTTATCCGGTTCTTGAATTCCGCATGCGCCTCTTCCCACGTCTTCTGGAACTGCTCGGCACGTGCTGCCGCGGCGTCGCTCCTGCCAGATATCTTCGTTGTATCGACTGTCGTCTGGTCCGTGAGGAAGCACTTGTCCCACCAGAGCGACATCCCCACTCCCACCGGCTCCTTTACTAACTGCACAACCATGAGGCGCATGGACTTGGTAGTAAGCGAGTGTAGCTGCCAGCAACCCTCCACAACCTCGTCGTCGACCTTCACCGGATAGCGGAAGACGAAGCGACGCTCGCCCTGGAGGCCTCGCACTCCAAAGGACAGCACGCACAAGGAGGTGCGGTCTGGCTGCTCCTCCGCGCAGAGGCGGAAGTTGTAGATGTCCTTTCCCTTGGTTTGCATCGTGGGCAGGATGAAGCTGACGGAGGCCGTGTCCTGTGTCTGCGACCAAATGTGTGACTCTCCTTCATGCGCCCCGTTGCGTGTCAGGTTACGGTACATCATCTCGTCTTCCTCCATCTCATCGTCTTGGCGGCTTTTTGGCACTGAGGGCGGTACAACACTCGAATTACAAGACGCAGCAGCATCAGCAGCAGAAGCCGTTGTAGTAGGAATGGCGCAGTTTGTGAGTGTGACGTCACTTGTCCCATTGAACGGTGAGGCTGTTGCCTTTGGGGGAACGGTCTCCATATGCACACCATTTGGGCCAACGGTGACACGCGATGGGTACTGCAGCCGAGTGACGCTGGGCCTTCCCGACGCCCCTTCGCTGCCGTCGGACTCGTCGCTTTCGCAGAACTTGTCCCATTTGGAGTAGTCAATACCTGACATTGTCTTTGCGCCTCCCCGTGTAGCCACCCAGAAGCAACAGCACCAATCATAGACACAAATACAAATTAAAGGGAAAGAAGGATGAAGGAAGGAGAAGGCCGATGGGATACCCCCAATACACAAGTCTACAACAGTCACATATAGAATAATGTAATCATAAGCATGGAAACGCTAGTGAAAACGGAAGAACAACCACGACAAGAGTACTCCACGTATTATACATTACTCCAGATTAACACCATACACACAAGAAGGTCCAAGCACACAAAGACGCCGTAGAATCAATCAGACATTTAATAATCCGCCTTCACATAGGCGGAACGACATAACGGACAACGTGGTATAAGTGGCCCGCTTTCATGCTGTATCGCCATCATCTCAGAGTACCTCTCAAACACCGAAAGACACACGCCATGGAAGCAGTGCCCACAACTCAGAAGCAGGCCGTAGCGCGGCGCACTCGACACCGTCGTGGATGCCTCCTCGGTTCTCGTCCCACACTTGCTACTTGTTACTGTGGTTGACGGGGCCGCTGACGGATGAGTGGTCGGCGCTCGTTGTGTCCTGACGGTACTGCGGCGCTGCGGTACCGCCACCGAAGGTTTTTTACTCTTTCTCTCAGAGGCTTTGCGCTGCGCCACACGCTCCTCATATTCGCGTCGAAACGCCGCGACAATTTCCTCTCCCGTCGTAGCCTTGCGAACATCCTCACTGTTAGGGTTGTGCTCAATGGCGCTCAGGCAGATGGGACACTCCAACGCGCCCTCCGCTGCTTCTACCTCTACACGCTTTCGAATCATGCCCCACTCCTCGCGTGTCGTACACTCGGCGAGGGCGCGCTGCAGTCGCAGGTCCATATTCTCCAGCATGCGGGCCTGCTCCTTCTCGCGAGCCTCAGCGTAGGCAGCGTACGCGTCAGACAATCGCGTGAGACGTTCATGCGCGTACTCGCCACAGAAATCGCTATCATGCTCTAGACGCAGCTTCACGTACGCCTTCCGTGCAAGGACGCGGCGGAAGAAGGCCTGTATCTTCACAATAGCAGCCCGCTGTGCCATTGCCTTGCCTGCGTAGAACAGACGCTTGTGGTAGTGGCCGCTTCGGCAGACAGGGCAGCTCAGTGGCGTTGCATCATTTTTCCCACGCGACCACCGCGCAAACTTCTCGAAGTGGCGAAAGCACTGCTCATGGAATACGTGCGAGCAGCTAAGCAGCACCTGCCCCTGCTCCATTGTGGCGTAGAAGGCCTCCTGGCAAATGCAACAACTATTGGCGCCGAGCGGTACTGCGTGGTTGCGGCGCAGTGCGGTGCCCTCAATCCGCGTCCATTCCTCCTCTGTTGGGGCGGGCGGCGGAAGCGGGACGAGGCCCATTTTCTGCGCCAGCGTCAGTCGGCCTCCAGGCATTGGCGGCGGTGCCGCCTCTAACGTGGGGAACGTGGAGCTCACTAACGCTCCACGTGCGAAGTGTTGCTGTAGCGCAACAGCGCTCCATATTTGCACCTGATCCTTGCGTTTTGCGGTATGCGTGCCCCAGCCACTGTGGAGCTTTGGGCCGATGGAGGGAAGGTTGCCGCGCTCAGCTGACATGGGCAGGCTTCGGCTACACAGTGTGTGCGTTGAGAGGGGTGTTGAGGGGGAATTTAGGGAAGCAGGTACACATGAACTTTCCACACGGATCTACAGACACAAGGGCCATACACACATGAAACCTCAACTAAAACCATGCAAGAAACACACACACACACACACGCACAGACGCCAAAAACGACAACGAATCAATGACACCAACTTTACATGAATCCATCAGAGAATCCAAGTTGTTGCGCTCTACCACTGCACAAAGGGAAATGCCACATTTATTTTTTACCTCCTCATCCAAACACAAGGGTGAAGAGAATAACTGCTGTGTTGACGAATATCAGCGGCCACCGCAATAATGTCCGGACGCTACTCAGAACAGACGCAAGCTTCGCCTTCAACGGCGAAAATCGTTGTGCACGCACAACGTCGTCACCGGCACCGAATGCCGACGGCGTGAAGCCTCCGTCACCGCCGCTGTCTGTCATCACCATCGGTGTCGCGAGTCCATACCTCGAGAGGAACCGCCGCTCTGACAATATGGCCATGGCGTTGAGGCACAGCAACAACGCCTGCGCCATGCTACCAATAGAGAACCCCATAAGACTGACTACGCAGCACATAGGCAATGAATAGGGGAAGGGGTTAGAGCACCACAAACAAAAGGGTTTGATGTGTTCTCACAACGCCGTGCGGCTCAGTTAAGAGGAGCAACAACAACGAAAAAAAAACACAATCCGAGGCAATACCAACTGTAATAGTTCTTAGCTTCTCCAAATACCAGTACAATCGGCGGCAAGAACGAAATGTGGAGTTCACCTCCTCCACCACCTTTGTTTCTCCTTTACTCGTACCACTCTATTCCTCCATCGCCGTCACGGGTTCCTGTTTCACCTCTGTCACCTTCACCACCTTTTCCTCACCATCCTCTGGTTGCTCCAAAGGGGTGCTAATGACGATACGAACATCATCGGTGGGCTGAAGAACATCCCCCACACCAACCTTCACTACTTTACCCAATGCCCACTTCTTTCCCACAACGAGAGTACCGTTACGTCCGTAATTGATAAGCCACAGACATTCCTCCCCCTTTCCATTCTCCTGGGCGCCACCCTCCTTGTGCTGCGCTGCGGCACCAGACTTTTGACCAGAGAATGTGAAATTCACCGGGAGAAACGCCAGAGAGAAGTGATGGGGGGAAAGGAACTCGGGGTGGGCGGTGAAGGCCGAGAGGCCGAAGTGGATGTGAGCCACATGGCCGTGCGCGGCGCTTGTTGTACCGGCGCTTCGACCAAAGTTCGTGAAGCGCCCATGCAGCGGAATCACTTCGGAGGCCGTCGTGCAGGATGACGTCACGCGCAGAACCCAGCGGGAGCCCGCGCCCATTTCCGTCGTTCGCGGTGACCATCCGAGGTCCTCCCGGGGGTCCAGCATGGCGCCGGGGAGTTTCACCGGGTCCACGTACGGCGACGTCTCGTTGATTGCGCCCGGTGCAAAACGTTCTGTCTGCACTCCTTGCGATTGTAGCGTTCGCCACGAACGGCCATAAAGGACGCGGAGCGTCTCAAGAAGCTCTACACGCCGCTCCACGTTGCGCTCTGCGGCAGCTACAAAGACACCAGGGTGTTGATCAATCTCATGACTCCACGGATCACTCGACGGCTGTAGTGTCGCAACCTCGGCGTCCTGTGTCTCTTTCGCTTGTCGCGATTCCTCATTTTGCTGCGGCAACGCTGGCGATGGCTCCTTCCCTGCGCCGCACGGGCGCTGACTGTTGATGTCGACGAGCCTAAGCCAGGCGAGGAGGTTGATGAAATGGTTTGACATGAGGGCACTCGCCTCATTCTCGTTTAGCTCTGCGAGGTCCTTGAGTTTGAGCAGCTCCTCCACGATGGCGCCGGAGGAGAACCTCCCGCGCTGCAGCACCTCCGCCGAGATCCCTGCTGCTTGCAGGCGGTTGGACGCCAACAGCGACGCCAGCGACGTCACAGGCGTCGGTGTCGGCGTGTCGCCCGTCGGTGACGCCACATCCGCCTCGCTCCGCCGTGGCCCGCCTGCGCCGAACTCCATGGAAGGCAGACGGAACAACTCGGCGATGTTAAGGGAGGATGCCTCCACATCGACGGCATCGGCGACCGCGTCGCTCACGGAAATGGGCGCCGTGCCTTCCGGCACTTTGGGGAGTAGCTCTGGGAAGAGGTACATGGGTGGCTCATAGCTGACGGGTCGCTGCAACACCACCTCGCAGTCACCCACCAGTGGCGTCAGCGACTCCACAGATCGCTGAGGCGCATCCATTTTTCCTTTTTTCCCCCTTTTTTGGCACACTTCGCAGGAAAGGGGGCAACAACAGCGGTGGCACCGGCACCGTTATGCGAAGCACCGTAGAGAGAGAGAGAAAGAGAGAGAGAGAGAGAGAGAAGCAGGCACAATAAAACAATAATGCCTCAACAAGAGAAAGCTGCGCGGGTGGGTGGTGGGGCTTTCGTGACCACCACCGCAAACAAACGGCCGAAAAAAAAAAGAAAACAGCAACAACCAAGGGAAATGACACAAGGTATACAGTGTAGACCCAGACTACAAATGCGCGCCTTTGTCTTTGCGTGCATTGGAATCGCATAGAAGGACGCCCCTCCCAAAGCTTAAGTGGCCCAGTCAATCACGCAGCGTTCCATCGCTACCGCAGGTCCCCAGCAGAATCTTCGCCGTCCGCACTTGCCATATTTGCAAAGGGGTTACGCATGAACTGGAAAATACGTCGGGGTTGTTTTTCTGAAGTTGTCTCTTGCTTCTTAAGGGCATCCTCATTTCCATTTAGAAAGCCGTCCGCCCCCATTTCCGAAAACGGATTCTTTGCAGCAGCTGGCGCATTTGCCAAATAGCCCATCTTCAAGGTGCCATTCGACGCGGATCGCTCAAACGGCATGACGGTTGGAGGCAGACGAGTCGGTGGCGGCGCTGCTGCCGCCGCTCCCGGTGAGGGTAGTGGATCTATCGGTACGGACGGCACGGCTACTGGCAACGGCGTCTGGCACCCGTTTGGGACGAACGGATCAGGCGATGCGCAAATGTACCCCTCCGGTGGCGTCAGGGGCTCGCCGGCGCAACCCGCCCACTTGACTGGAAGCGAGGCGGCCGTGCCCTCGCACGTGGCGTT